CTCTAGCCTCAGCCCTCAGCACCCTGAGGCTCCTGGCCTCGCCTGCCCTGGGGGCCCTCCTGGGCAGAGCCGGCACCCGGGGCGTGTGCCAGAAGGCTCTCGGCGCTTGTGAAACCAGGAAAAGCGTCCCGGGGTCTGGAACCTCACTGTCTTGACCTGTTTCCGAGCCCTAGCTCCTGGAGGAGCCCTGGGAACCCCCTGGGCAGCCGAGGCTTCAGCTTCCTGGACAGCTGGGGCTCTGCCCTCTGATGAGATGCAGCTCCCGGGCCCCGGTCAGTCGCAGCCGCTGTCCCATCAGACGCAGCCGCTCCCCCCTCCACAGTGGAGGCCCCTTCCCTCCGGTTATCTGGCCTCTGGACAGCTGGGGTCTCTGAGCCCTGGTCAGCTACAGGCTCTGGCCTCTGGACAGCTGGGGTCTCTGAGCCCTGGTCAGCTACAGGCTCTGGCCTCTGGACAGCTGGGGTCTCTGAGCCCTGGTCAGCTACAGGCTCTGGCCTCTGGACAGCTGGGGTCTCTGAGCCCTGGTCAGCTACAGGCTCTGGCCTCTGGACAGCTGGGGTCTCTGTGCCCTGGTCAGCTACAGCCTCTACCCTCTGACTATCCACACCCTCTGCCCCCTGGACAGCTATGGCCTCTTCCCTCTGATTATCTGTAGGATCTGCCCTCTGGACAGTTGGGTCCAGGACTCCCTGGTCAGCTACAGCCTCTACCCTGTGATTATCTGCAGCCTCTGCCCCCTGGACAGCCATGGCCTCTGCCCTCTGGTTATCCACAGCTTCTGCCCCCGGGTCAGGGGGGACATCTGCCCCCTGGGCCAGGGATGTTGCCTCCTCCTTTCTGCGGCGCCGGAAGGAGGCCCAGTTGATCTTGGGCCTCCACCGTCGTGGGGGCGGCTCAGGCACCCGCCCATCGACTCCATTTCCCGCGTCATTCTGCGGGCTGGCAACGCCGGGCAGCGATGCCCCCTCCCTCTCCACTGCTGCGGGCACCGGCCGGTTCTCGCCCACCACGGGGCCGGATCGCGGCGCCCAGCCCTTCACCCTGCGCTTCAGCTTCCCCCAGGACACCTGGCTGACATACTCCCGCCACCGGTCCGCCTTGGACAGCTGGGGTGCCAGGCTGTCCTCGAACATGGGCACTGGCAGGGGCACGCGGCGGCGGACGGGCTGGACGTTGGGCTTCTTCTCCCCTCGCCGCAGGAAGGCCTCCACCAGCTCCTCGTCGTCCTCGCTCTCCACGTCGCTCCCCAGAAATTTGCTGCCCAAGTAGCTGACGGGCATCCTGCGCGGCCTCCGGCCCCGCCCCGCGCCTCCCCGGCCCGCGCCTCCCCGGCCCTCGGCGCCGCGGCCTCCGGAGGTCTCGAAGTCGCTGAACTCGCTGTCGCTGGCATTGCTGCTGTCATAGGTGCCCACGACCAGCCGGGGGGCGGGGTCTCCACCTGCTGGACTCTCCTCCTCACTCGGGGCTCCTTGGGTTTTTTGGGGGGCTGAGGCGGGTGGGGGTGCTCTTCTCGATGATGCGGGCCACATCCTCGAGGGTGCGGCCTTCTTCCTCCAGAAACTGGGTGAGCCGCTCGCGAAATTCGGCCTCTTTGGTCGCGGGCTTGGAGATGACCCTCCAGACGCCCCCGGCCAGCCTGACCTCCCGCGGGATGAGCAGGTAGTCCACGTCCTCCCCGATCTGCAGCATCCCCACCGTGGAGTCCTCCTCCCTGCGGAACACCTTGCCGATCTTCTTAAAGGTCCCCACGGGCTTCAAGGCTTCCACGAGGACGTCCAAATCCACGTCTTTGCAGACATCCGGGACGCTCCAGAGGATCAAGCAGTCGGGGGACGGGAGGAACCCCCAGGGGAACCAGCCCCCCACATGGCTCTTCTCGAGGGTCTTTAAGATCTCCAGGGTGAAACCTGGGGTGGGGGGGGCAAGGAGCCCAAACGTCACGAAGCCCTGGGCTTGGCGGTGGGGGTGGGGTGCAAGCCGCGCCGGCCCGCGGAGTCTCCGCTCCGGCCGGGACCCACCAGCACCGCCCAGTTTCCCTGCCTGCAAAGTTCGGTCTCGATCAGGTCCGGCTCCCTCCCCGAGGGCTTGTGGGAATCAATCCCGGGATGCTTACGTGAGCCGGGAGGAGGTCAAAGCCCACCGCAGGCTGGAGCCGTAGCGTCCCGGCTCCAAGCTGGGGTGCACGGAGTGCCTGTGGTTCTTTCTGCCCCAGGCACCGGGGACGCGCCTGGAACTCGGGAGCGGACTTCACAAAGGCGTCTCTGCCGAGGCTGTTCAATATGGCCGAGGCGCTGGAGGCCGCAGCCCAGCCCCCCAGGAGGGTCTCCCGCCCCTAGGCAGCCTGCCACCGCGTCGAAGCCTGACCTTGACGCGCCTCCCGCCTCTCCAGCCGCGCGCTCAGCGCCTGCCTCTGAGAGCAAGGGCAGGAAGTTCCTCCTCGCCCTCCCCTTGGTGAGGCCCACCTTCTCCCTTCTCATCTTACACTCCGCGACTCGCGAAGACTGACAGGGGGGCTGTCCACTCTCTATGGGGCGGCCTCGCTCCCCTCCCCACTAGGGTGTGGCTGCGCCCCGGGCCTCACTGGGGCCACGGCTTCCAAGCGGAATGGGAATGCTTGCGAGGCCCACGTCAGCACCTTTCCAGAGAAAGACAGCAGTTCTCAAATCTGCCATCCAGAAAGTGAGGGGTCCAGCCTGGCCTGGGGGCAGGCCTTTTGATAGCACCGTCATTATCATATCAATATCTATCTGTATCTGTAATGGCACTTCTACTACCACTCTAAACTTCTTTGGTACCTGCTCTTCTTACCTATATATCCACAGGTATGGGTAGAGAAATTGGTAGAGAAACCAGGATCATATCACACCAGTTCCTAGCCTGGGATTCAGTACACAGTAGGTGCTCAATAAATATTTTTAGGGAGATTAAATTTTATGGTCTCTTCTTAGAGTGAAGCACTATGCAGCAACGAAAAAGGAAGCGCCAGAGATATTCAAATCTCACAGGGCCCTTCCTGTGTCCTAGACACCATTTTAAGTGCTTTCTACAAATCAACCCATGAAATATCCCCATAACAGAAGACAGGTAATAGGGGGATCATTCCCACTTTATAGCCAGAAAGTAAAAACACTTGCTTAAGGGCTGCACAGCCGGAAAGAGACTGAGCCTGGATTTGAATCTAGAACAGTCTGGTGTGTGTGTGTAGACCAAAAGATCTCAACGTGTCCATCTGCTAAACACACCTATAAGCACTATGGCCATCTGCAGATGTTTCTGGGGAGGGAAATGGGGGGAGACATCTGAATTTTCACCCTAGCGTCTTCAGAATCTATCACAAACACGATGGACCAGGAGCCAGGGAGCCAGGGTTTGCTTCCACATGGGCATTAGTAATAGTAACATTTAACTTGCACCAAGGGTTTCCTTTGGCCCAAAACCTGGAGATATGCCGAATGGGTCTGTTATAAGTCCTCAGAGCTAGGTGGTCAGGGAGTACCTTGGGTAGCAACTTCTTACAGATGGGGAAACTGAGGCTGATCTCAATTTACACAGATCTCCAGGTGGAGGGTATAATATTTGCACCCCATTTGGGTGCCAGAATAAATGTCCAGTCAGTGAAGTCAGAGGCCAGATTGGAGGCGGGTGCAGACGTGTCTCTGAGAGTCTTCAGTTTTTCCTTGGAAGTTGCCTGCTGATCCTTCTTTCTTTGGAGGCCAGGAAAAGAATGTTCTAAGAAGGTGCCTTCCCTCCCTTATATCCTCTTTCAGGGTCTCCCACCCTACAAGCTCAATTGAAACATTTTGATGCTAAACTACTGGTTGGATTGTTTTGCACCAATCAGTTCATTAACCATTTTATATTTGACTAGCTAATGAGCTGGGCTTGAACCTGATTGGTCCATTTAGCTTGTACCTGATTGGTCCATTTTACAATCCAGGCAGCAAATATAAAAGGGAAGGCTTGGTGCCTGCACAGATCTGATGTGCCCTGAGGCACATCTGGTCCAAGAGTTTTGGCTGAGGAGTTAGGGAATCATAAAACCCTATCTCTCAAGAGTTGGGAAGATATGAGTAAATTAGTATGAACTCATTCGCCCAATGCCTGGAATACAAGCAGCTTTTACTCTCTTCACTCCACATAAATTGTTACACCTTTCCCATTAGCCCCTGATGCCTACAGGCTGGGAGAGAGCTGTGCTTTGGGTTCTCTTGGTCATGAACTCTGACTATGTTCCCTTAAAAATAGGCATCCTGGGGCCTCCCCTGGTGGCGCAGTGGTTGAGCACTGGGCTGCGAGGCTGCCCGCAGCCTCTGAGGCGCCGGTTCATTCCCTGGCCACCGGCGAGGATCCCACAAAAATAAATAAATCAATAAATCAATAAATAAATAAAATAGGCATCCTGAACAAACTTCAGACCACCCACTGGCAGTGGTTTTGCAATTTTTTTTTTTTTTTTTTTTAGCAATCAGTTTTTCCCAATTAAATCTCACATGGATTTCCCCAACATGTCAAAGAGAAGACTAGGTTAGCATACATTTGTTTCAGAAGTTCATCATTGTATAATATAACATCAACCACCGAGAACAATGAAGAGTTTTAACTGAACCCATTCTTGAAACTGGGGTTTACAAAGGCCAGCTGCTGCCTTCCATCAGCCAGCACTCCCAATCTACTTGGGAATTTTCATTTGGGGTTTACTATGCCAGCAATGTCTCAACTCCCACAGATGACTAACTTTGGATGGTAACAATTTTGCCCATCAGTGGGCATAGCAATCTCAGGAGAGTCATCAACTGGTCCAGAAAAACGACAAAGAAAATTGGTAGGAGATTTGGGTTGAATAGGTAACACAGATTCATGTTGTGTATCACAGATATGAATGCTGTATGGGAAACACCCCAAACCCACAATAAACACAAATACAATCTTAATACTGTAATGCAGTGATAAGAAATGTCACACTGGTTCTTGCTGTTGTACAGCGACTGCAGATGGGAGAACAGCATGCAACAGATGTGCCTGAGCTTTGTGTGGCTTTATTTAAGCTCAGACCCCACAGCACATATTCTGTGAGGGACTTCGCCAGCTGGAAACTTACAAGAAATTGATCAGTAGAGAACCACAGATTTCTAGACCTTAACTGCTCTTGCGAGAAGTTCAGAAGTAGGTGTGGGGATAGCAGGAAGATTTTTTTCCCAACCATTGCACAAAGGAGAGGGTTGTTGAGGCTCACAGAAGAGCTGGTTTGGGAAATGGACAGAAATCAGAATCTTCCAGGTTTTAGGTTTCCTCCTGGGTCTTGACACTTGTTGAGAACGCAAGGACCTGATGGGAGTTTCTGACTGCAGGAAGATGGGTCCCTTGCCTCACCCTGGCTGCCAAGGTGGAGCCTTTCGGTTCTGCTGGAGGGCAGCGTGGGGTAGCCTTGCAGATATAACATGGAACTCACAGACATGATTGATATCTACCACAGAAATACATGGAGTCTCCAATGGCAGAGTCTCCACTGGCCGAGTCTCCACTGACTCGGCTGAGTCAGAACCTGAGTGTGGTGTGAATTATATGTTTGAAAAGAAATTCAACTCAAACCTTGGGTGATCCCTGAACTTCTGGAAGTTTGCAAATTCCCAAGCCAGATCCCCCTGAACAAGAGCCCTCTCTCCCAGGGACAAGGGGGTTGTATGGCCAGCACCCCACCATCCATTTCAATTTCAACTGATTTTGCTGTTTGGTTTTCACCATCACGGGGGATTCATGGGAATGCTGTTCATCCATAACTCTTGAAGATGATCTTTGAGTTATTATTCCCTGGAAGCCTTGTCTTGGTTCTTTGGAGAGTGGAGCACACCCCCTCCTTCCGAATCAGAGCCTCCTGGGTTTAATTTGGAGACTGGTACATCCTCCCCGATGCCAGCCAGAGCAGAAGGGACCACCTCTGACCACCCCGTAGGAGTGATCCAGTGTTTCTAGAGCAGCGCCGACCCCTTATATGTTGTCACACGGGCAGTGAGTTGACCAGACCAGCCATGGCTTTTGGTTCCCCATGCAAAACGCCAGGGCCGCCCATTAAGTGTGTGCCAGGGCGACATTCGGGGTATATCCTCTTAAAAGTAAAAAAACAAAACAAACAAACAGCAAAAAACCCAGCTCTACACGTTGCAATAATAGCATTTCCAGCAGGACCCAAAGTTACAGGGCTGTGCCTCCGCCCCCCATTGCACCCTCTCACACACACCCCACCAGAGGCTGTCTTCAACTTCAGGACGCAAATGACGGCCCAGGGGCCTTTCTCCGAGCGGGGTTCTCCTTGACACGTTCTTGCTGCGTGCTTTCCCTCAACTCGGATAAGTGGCCTTCTGCAAACACTTGGGATTCTAGGCCCGGTGACTCTACTTCCATTTCCGCAAACGCACTCTTGCGCAGGCGCAGGGGCGGCCCGCGGTCTCCATGGCAACGGCGACGCGCCCCTGGGCTCCGGCTCCTACTGAGGCTGCGCGGTTGCTCCTGCGGGGTCTCTGGGTTTGCCGGTCTCGGACCTTGCACGTTGTTTGTGGGTCTTGAAGACCCTGCCTCACGCAGAAGTTACCCTCAGCCACTCATAGGGCCCCACACTCTCAGGTGTTACCTCCACACTCTCAAGTGTTGCCCACAACTCAAATATTACCCAGTGGAACGCATCTCACCCTCTGGAGGTCCCCACGCCTCCTTAGATATCTAATAGGAGTGCCTCGAGGGCAAGTGGGAGGGTCTACCGCGCTCTCTACTCCCCAGCCATTACATCTACTCAACGGTGCTCGCGCACACTCAGAGGTACCCGAGAGGTGACCCATCGCGAATGCCACAAAGGCGGGGACAATGTTGGGTTTGCTTCCCGGCCTCCCCGGCCCCCATCACGGTGGCGGGACAGGGCGGGCGTGCAGTAAAGCCCTGCAGAACGCATGGATGACTGAATGATCCACACTCAGCCAGAGTGAACCACCTCCACTCAGAGGTAACCCACAAGTTAGCTCAGCTGAAAACACCCACCTTCCCCCCGCAGGCGTGACCTGAGCTCACCCAGGTGACACCCGTTCTTACTCTAAGTTACCGGCTCACGTTAAGGCAGCACCATCCTTCTGCCCACCTTATCCACACTCGCTCGCATTCCCCAGACTTCCTGAAAGGGCACCCACCCTCCCACGGTCGTCACCCACATCCACTGAGACGACACCCCCTCAGCCGGCCGCCCCGCGCCCGCCCCACGTCACCTCAAGGCTTCTTGTCAGACGCGTGGTGGCGTCGCCGGCTTTTCTTGTGCTGCTTCTTGCCCTTTTTGCCCTCTCCGGCCTTGCTCTCTTTCTCCGCCAGGCCCAAAGGCGGCACCCCGCGCACCCCGGCAGGGGATCCGGCCCCCGGCTTCTCCCCGGGCCCCGGCGCACAGCCCTGGGTGGCCGGCGGCTCCTGCGGGCCCGGCGTGGACGGGCCCAGCTCCTGCCCGAGGACGCGGGCCACGTCCTCCACCGTCCGGCCCTCGCGCTGCAGGAAGAGGTTCAGCTTGGTGAGGAAGGCGACGTCCTGCCTCCGGGGCATGTAGACCACTCGCCACAGGCCGCCCTGGCCCTGGATGTCCCTGGGAATCGCGGCGTAGTCGATGTCTCCCGCCAGCCGGATGATGGCCGCCTTGGTCCTCTCTTCCTCCAGAAAGGCCTTTCCGGCCACTTCGAACTTGCCCAGAGGCGCTAGGGGTGCCCTTATGATCTCTTCAAACTCCTCGTGGTTGCAGTCCTCGGGGATGCCCAGGATCATCAGGGACTTGTGACTGTCCACCCCGAGGGCCTGGCACCCGTGCTCCAGCAGCGCGATGTCCTTCGCGCCGAACAGCATCTTGCCCAGCTCCCGGAGGCAGCAGTAGGCCTGCCGGCGCGTGCCCGCCCCGCCCCGGGGGCCCTGAAAAGGATCCAGGATGCCGGGTCCCCTTGCGAAGGCCGAGAGCGCGGCCTCGCCGGCCCACTTTGCCCAGCCCAGTCAAGGAGGCCCAGGTCCTACCCCGGCTGGCACCGCGGCTTCCGATCCCTGCGACGTGGCCTCCCCTGAAAGCTCTGGGACTCCCCGGGTCTCGCACAGAGCGAGGCGGGACAGGTGTCTGCCAGCGGGCTCCTGGCTCCCGAGCCCCGGGCCGGGCCGCACCAGGGCCTCAGCAGATCTGGGGCCGCTGCCCTCGCGGGGGCTGCTGCCACGGGGGTGTCGCGGGCGGGGGCAGGGCGATTCGTGCCCTGTGGGCGGCCCGGAGGCTGCCCGGGGTGCCCTGAGGCCGGCAGAGCCTAGGATGTGGCGGCTGCACTTGCTCCCCCAGTGACGTCACCACCTCCTTCCGCTCTGCGGCCCAGCGTCTCCGTGGCAACACTAGAGCATCGCCTCTGCCATTGGCCGGGCTCAGTCGCATTGAAATCAGAGTCCAGGGGGTCGTGGCGAGGTGAGGGGTCAGCCACCTTCTGTCAGATGTACCCACCCACCTCCTTTGAGAAAATGACTGATTCCAGGGGGATAGTGGGGGGCAGACAGGGAGGATACAAGATGAGCAGGGAACATCTTTTGGGGTCAGAAAGGAAGGAAATGCTCAAGGACTGACCAGAGGGTGGAAGGACACAGAGGCAGCTTCAAGGGCTCTCACTCATGGGGTCTGGGGCCGGGTGCGCAGAGCGGAGAGATTATAACCCTTGCATAAAGTCAGAGCCCGGGCACCAAGCAGCTAGGAGGAAAGATGTCCCTGGAGAGCTCGGCGAAGGACTGGGGGCCAGAACCTCACCTCGGATCACACTTATGAATCAACAGGAGCAAAAGCATCATTACTGTGCAGTGTCTTTTGTAGGAAGCTCCCTCTCCACCACTCAGGAGGATGGCACGCCGGCCTAGCGACTGCCCCTCAGAATAGCTCAGGAGGGAAAAACTTTGTTCCATCCTCGAGGATGAAGCCGCAGCCACGAGGCGGGGAGGGTCAGCGTGCAGGATCAGCGTGCAGCCCAGGTGCCCAGCTACCAGGCTGGTCCTCACCCATCTCCCGGCTCCCGGTGTCGGCTCTGGGCATGATTCAGAGCTCCGTGTCACTTGTCCCCGCCTGCTCGCCTTTTCCACTCCTGTGATTTTGGGTCAGGCGCCTCAGAAGAGGCAGAGTCTGGAGAGGGTCACAGCAGATCTGCTCTGAATGGAGGTTGGAGGTGGAAGTTCCTGGTTGCTAACTGTTGCATGTTCCCACTCCCCTGTTTGCAGGGGGTCTGCAGGCTCCCCTACCCCCAGATGCCCATAATGCATTTCTTACCAATGTCACTCACAGTGCCGGCTTCTGTGTTGAGCACTGACTGCTCATCCAGAGCTAAGACACTTCCTTTCTTTATAAAAGGACAGCCCGGGACTAACAGAGAGTTTAGAGAGAAAAGGAAAAGGAACCCCTTTACCAAGCGGTTTAGGAACCAGCTCTTGGGTACAGTCTTAAAAAAATCTTACTTTGGTATGAAAAATTCACCTCTGGCTCCCTAACACGTTGTCCTTTTTACTAGAAGATGGGGATCCCCCCCACAAAAGAGGAAGTGAAATTGACATTATAATATTTGCTTGTGGGGGCCTCCCTGGTGGTGCAAGGAGTTAAGCACTGCACTATGAAGCAATCTGCAGCCTCTGCAGTGCGAGTTCAATCCCCGGCCGGCCAGGGAACAACCCACATAGTGCAGCAGACCTCTCCTGTCTCACCCGCTGCTCCCCTCAGCAGTGGATTTCAGTCACTCTGCCTGTTCTGTTCCCCACTCTGTCTCTGGTGAATCCTCTCACCCCCCACATCTCTGGCCTGTACCCCAGCTCTTGTATGCATAAATAAATAAATCTTTTTTTAAAAAAAAAGAATATTTGCATGGGAAGGAGCAAGTGGATGCAACCACTACAGAAAACAGTGGGGAGGTTCCCCAAAAGATGACAAGTAGATGTACTAGAAGAAAATAAGATGAAAGATATATATAGAAACAAAAACAAAATAGAAGCATCATATGATCCAACAATTCTACCGTTGATATCTACCTGAAGGAAACAAAGACACTAACTCAAAAGATGTTTGGTCCCATGTTTCTCACATTATTTACAAAAGTCAAGAAGTGGAAGAAACCGATGGAAAATGGATAAACATGTGGCACATAGAGTCACACACAGCCAAATGATGTTTCCTTTGGTGATGGACCTCATCCACCATGGCGGCCCCAAAAGGCCGCATCATTCATCCTAGGTGTGTAGGAGACTGACACTATGCCATTGATGTTTATGTAATTACTCTCTAGGATGCTCACACAACAAGAAAACCACCCCGGGATGCATGTCTCAGAGCATATCCTGGTCATTAAGTGATACACTGTGTAGTGTGTTAACATACATGACGGAATATTATTTAGCCATCAAAAAGAAGCAAATTTTACCATTTGTGACAACATGGATAGAGCTTGAGGACATTACGCTAAGTAAAATAAGTCAAAGAAAGATAAATATCATAGGCTGTCATTTGCATGTAGAATCTTTTAAAAAATAAAAACAAACTAATAAAACCAACACAGAGATAAGAGAGTGGATTGGTCATGATGGTGATGGGAGGATGGGCAAAAAAAGGGTGAAGGCAACCAAAAGGTACAAATGTCCAGATAAGATAAATAAGTCCTGGGCGTGTCATGCACAGCACAGAGAGGGTAGTGAGACAACTGTATTGTATACTTGGACGTTGCTAACGAATATTTTTAAATTTTGCCATGGATTGTTGATTCTTTGACATGCCACTGCAAATTGCTGGGAGAGCAGAACTTAAAAGAACATCCCAAGGGGGAAAAAATTGTAACTATATGTGGAAATGTCAAAAAACTTGGGTTTATGAATCCTTGGGCTCCACTGCATCCCTTGGGCGCAGGCATATTTCACATTGAGAAGCAGAGGACAGAATGCTCCATTGATTCAACCTGCCAATATGGACTGAGAAGTTTCCTTGTTAACCAGGTTTGCGGCAACGTGCTGGGCATACTTGAGTGAGTGAGACAGACTCTGCTTTTAGGAGCTCAGTCCACTGGTTATGACAGGCACGGTCAGCCTATTTACAGTCAGGGAGAGAAACCCTGTAATTATCACAAAGACGTGTTCTGATCCCTGGAGAGGGGCATAGAATACAGAATACACTAATTGGGAAGAGTTTTATCAAAAAGTTTAAAGAGAGAACAGTATAAAGTGTTTTGGAGGCCCTGAGCAACTAATCCTGTCTGGCCTCATCCAGGAAGGCTTCCTGGAGAAGGTGGCCCTTGAAGGGATCTTGAAGGATGCACATAATGAACACACCAATGCTATTTTTTCAAGTGGGCATTGCCACCACTTACAGAGGGCACACTACGTGCCAGACAGTAGTCTAAGCCCACTCTCTGTATTGTTACTTAATTTTAATTGTTACTTAATCCATCCTAATTGAGGGAGAGGGGAATGAAGTGTGACTTCTTATGAGTACAAGATCTCCTTTGACGGTGACAAAAATATGTTGGAACTAGAGAAAGGTAGTGGTAGCACATGGTGAATACGTTAAATACCACTTAGCAACTTCCAAATGGTTAATTCTATATTATGTGAATTTCACTGCAATAAAAATAAATTTCAGTGACTCCATTCTTGGAGTGGGGGCGGGCGCCTTCCCTCTGATGGTGAATGCCATTTTTACGGCTCTTAGTTTGATCTGTTCAGCAGACATTCAGAGTTAGACACAGGAGCTTGGCCTCCGGGGGAGAGATGGGGTGGAGATACAAATTTAGAAGTCATTGGCACATGAGAAGTATTTTTCAAGCCTCAGGGTTGAATGAGATCATCTAGAGGGAGGGTCTGGAGAGCAGAGAGAAGCCAGCACCAAGCCCCGGGGCCTCACCAAGGGTCTGTGTGAGGAGAAGAGAAGGAAGCAGGGAAAGAGATTGCAGGGAGGGGCAGGGTAACCCTAAGAGTGTGTGTTTCCAAAGCAACCAGCATCGGGGCCTTCCTGGTGGCGCAAGGGGTTAAGACACAACCTATGAAGCTACGCAGCCACTGCAGCACGAGTTCGATCCCCAGCCTGCCAGGAAGCAACCCACATGGCGCAGCAGACCTCTCCTGACTCGCCCCCTGCTCTCCTCAGCAGTGTATTTCAGTCTGGCTGTTCTGCTGCCCACTCTGTCTCTGGTGAATCCTCTCACCCCCCACACCTCTGGCCTGTACCCCAGTTCTTGTATGCATAAATAAATAAATCTTTTCTTTAAAAAAAAAAGCAACCAGCATCATAGTAGATTAGAATGAGACCTGCTGTCTATGTATGGAGGACTGTTTAGGAAATCGTGGTGCACTCCTGTAATGGGACCTGCACCCTGAGAGGCAAAACCAGGGGGGAGTTCTCTCTGTGCCCAGATGGAGCATTCCTTTCTAGGAAAAGACATGCTGAAATCATCAAGCCTCACGCTTACATAATAAACAAGTGATAAACAGAAACCACAACTTTTAGAGATCTGACTTTATTAAATGAGTCACTAATCTGGCAGCACCCCATCTAGACACCACAAGGGCTCCCACAAAAGTGGATGGTGATCATAGACAGAGAGGGGGTGGGCCAAGGTGTTTAGCAGAAGAAAATAGGATTTCAAGCACAGCCACCTTCCCCAGGGGCACGCAGAGGGGCCCCGTGGTGCAGCTGCCCCAGTGGTGCCGATAGGAAGACTCCAGACTGATGGTTTTGTCATGCTTTCAGGAGAGATACAAACTGCTACAGGCGTTAAGTCTGGGTGGGGACCCAGAGTGAAGGCATCCATTTGGGGCCTCTTTTTTCTACTTTTTAAAAAAGATTTATTTATTTATACAAGAAC